GAATTCCTTTTGTATTTCAAAAGAATAAATTTGACGTCAAGTGCATAGAAAACAATACCTCGGGACTTATTAAATGGGTGTATAGAAGGTTCAATAATTATGATTCAATCTTGTGTACTTATGCATGGTTATTCATGTATGCCATTGCATAATTATTGCAAAAATTAAGAAGCAAATTGGTCTCATGACTAAACGGTAAGGTTTGGCAATGCAATGCTGGCTCAAATCATCATGGTTTAGCTGAAAAATGCTTTTCATCAGTTTAAGTTTAACTCCTTCTATGTGTACATCAGTTTAAGTTTAACTCCTTCTATGTGTACATCAGCAATGTGTAACAACCATATATGGAAGTTGTATGACAGATGCTTCTCTGGCAAAATTTGAGATTTTTATCAAAGAACTGGTGACAGGGTTTATGCCTCATATTCTTGAACTGCAATGGTTTTAATCTATGCGCAGCAATGAGTACACCACATATAAAATAATTTTAATAGAAATTTTTATTAATTTTTCATTAGTTGTGTTCACTAGAACAGCAATCGACATTAGAAAACCTCCTGATTGACAGCACAGTGYATTAAGGCTAGAAAACTCTCAGWATTACAAACCACAGCATAAAAAGTGCAATTTTATAATATTCCTAAACAAAGTCGAATTCATAAATAAAGTATCTGRTAGAAGAGCTGAAGCCTYACTGTACAAATCAGCAATTGGAAAACAACTAAACCTAAKGGGGACCCCATGGGGCTATATATGGGAGATTGCTTTTCAAGCTTTTTATTTAGAGCTCTTCTTTTGGTTCTGCTGGGGCTTCTTTCTTCTCATCCTGTGAAAAAAATAGAACAATTGTTATGTACATGAACACTTGTTTACCTAAATCATAGCACAGTGGTTTTCCATTTTTAAGGGGAATAACCACAAAAACATTGATAAATTTGGCAGCAATTGGTTTGATATTGAGCAATTTACAGCCATTTGAACTTTAAAAAAAATAGGTCTTTAAGAGTATTGTTGGCATTCGTCTCTGCAAGCAAACATTTTTATCTGTCTTTCAAATTATTATCCATCTTAATCTTTATTTTTTGTTCTGCATTGTATCATAGTTTCCTGTCAAAGKTATTAATGAATATTTACCTCAACTTCATCCTCTTTAGCATCTGTCTTTGTTTYTTCCTTCGTTTCTTCCTTAGGTTCTTTTTCTTCTTCAGCAGGTTTCTCTTCCTCTTTGGTTTCTTTGTCTTCGCTGTCAGCATTCACTTCCTCATCTTTCTCTTCCTTCTCTTCTTCTCCTTCTTCCTCATCAGGMTCAACCTTTGCTTCAAGGTCAACGTTCATACTAAGACGAAGCATGCGTTCTATTCTTTGAGCAAAATCTGCAGAGTCCTGTAAATAGAAAGAAAATATTAAGCTTAAAATTAATCCTGTTTTTGATATGATRATGCAAAAACAACTTCTGGTAGCAGGAGACTGTGGTTTTTATGTTAAGTGACACTCATTAGAATTTTAAGATTTGATACAACTCAATGTAATTTAAGTTTTGTTTGGGTTCCCTGTGTTAATACCTAAAATACCACAGGGAGCCCAATACCCAATACTTTGATATACCAACCTTGACTAAGTATCCTGATCGAAGTGTTGCAGTCTCTAGTAGAACACGTGATAGATCTTTGGCTGTCTTGTCTTCCTTGTTAGCTTCCACTCTCTTAAGGAGCTCTTTGATCAGGGGATGTCGTGGGTTGACTTCAAGGGTCTTCTTTTGGGTAGCATAGTATCTGAAAATTAATTTAAATTATTTTTATTATAATATTTATGAATAGATTATTCATTTAGCATCATCTGCAGAGCTGTTGGTCTCTACATAGACTGCATTATTTGAGGCAAACATTTTGGATGTGAAAACAGCCAAATTTGAATTTTTTCAGCATTAAAGAATGATTCATTTATGTGTGCTGAATGATCGAGCTACTTTGTGGCTTAACCCACATAACATTGCCATCTGGACATTATTCTAGTATTTAATAATTACATATCATTTCACATAAATAATTATTATTGTTATTTAAATCTTATCACTTACTGGTTGCTAGGGTCCTCAGTCTTGGCATAAGCTTGAGCTCTCATGATTCTTTCCATGTTACCAGACCATCCGTAAGAGCTGGCAACYAAGGCRCATGGTGATCCCTCCAATCTCTCAGAGATGGTGGCCTTCTCAATCAAGTCTTTAAGAGCATCCTCCTTYAACCATTTGAGCAGAGGTTCATAAGTCTTCTCCATCTCTTCCTTCTTCTTCTTCTTCTTGTCGTTTTCCTCTCCGACCTTCAATCCTTCTTTGGCAACATTTTGGAATTTCTTGCCTTCGAATTCTGGAAGGCTTTGCATGCAGTATTCATCTACAGGTTCAATGAGGTACAGGACTTCGTAGCCCTTTTTGAGAAGAGCTTCAACAAAAGGTGATGATTCAACCTACAAAATAGCAATAAATCATTAGAGCAAACGCAGAAAAACCATGAAATAAATTCAAACTAAATACTATTTAGAGACAAATTGTYRGTATCAATGAACCAGAAYRCAATCAAGATGAATTAAAAATGGTCCCATAAGGATTCATCTGCTCTCTAAGAGGACTTGTGGACTTAATCTGATAAAAATGTCTATTCAGACAAAACACTGTGTTTATAATGGATGGACACAACAACTTATGAAGACTGAAACAGTAAAGATACATGTATATGCACTCGAGAAATATACCCCTGGTGTTATAGTAATCATAATGGTTATRTACTCACCTCTTTACGAGAGTGACCTGCCATAAAGTAAATAGCTTCTTGTTTTTCCTTCATTCTCTCTACATACTCAGCAAGGCTGGTGAAGTCTTTCTCAGAGTTGGATGAATAGAAACGAAGAAGTTTGGCAAGACGGGTTCTGTTGGAGTGGTCTTCAATGACTCCTAGTTTGACGCTGAAAATTATAAAGACTCATTAATAACAATCAACAATAAAATGTGGTAATAAAAGTATAGTACCGATTACATGAGCAATTTTCCCTTGACAAGTTTTCCTTCACAAGGAAAAACTGCTCGTGTAAATGGGGTAAAATGGGCAATTTTTCCTTGTCAAGGAGAAGCTAACATGTTCACTTTTCCTTGACAAGGAAAAATTGTCAAGGATGAAATTTGCTCGTGTAAATGGACAACAAGGAAAATGTGGCAAGGAAAAATTGTCAAGGAAAACTTGTTGACCATTCACACGGGCAATTTTTCCTTGTCAAGGAAAACTTGTTCTTCGTTTACACKAGCAAAGAAACATTGTCAARSARGAATTGTCAAGGAAAACTTGTTGACCATTTACACGGCCAATTTTTCCTTGTCAAGAAACTTGTCAAGGAAAAATTGCTCATGTAAACAGAGCTTATGTGCAGTTCCTCATGCTATCTTTAAACACTTACTTGGTGCTGTATTCCTTCCAGAATTTTTCAATGTATTGATCTTTTGGGATCTTCTTGATCATGTCCAAGGCCTTTCTTACAAGCTTCTTCTTAATGACCTTCAATAGCTTGTGCTGCTGAAGTTGTTCACGGGATACATTCAATGGCAAGTCGTCAGAGTCCACAATACCACGGATGAAGTTCAAGTATTTAGGCATCATCTCTTCAAAGTTATCTGTGATGAATACACGGCGGACAAACAGTTTGATTGCGTCCATCTTCTTGCCATAATCAGAGAACATGCCACCGGGAGCAGATTTGGGGACGTACAGGATAGACCTGAAGGTGACTTCTCCCTCGGCAACGAAGTGAGTGTGTGCAAGTGGGTCGTCTGATTCCTGAAAGTCCAACAACACTCATTATAAGATACCATTTGACCATTTTTACAAGTCTTCTCGTAGATAAGCTGCACCCCCGATTTGGGAACAATTTTTTTTGAAAAAAAGTGAKGCTTATACATGGGTAAATACGGTATATTCTTGATTGGCGGCTGTTGATATTCTATAATAAGTTGTAATTACTGATAATCACCTTTGTGAATGATTTGTAGAATTCTTTGTATTCGTCATCTGAGACGTCTTTGGGTTTTCGTGTCCAGATTGGTTTGTTAGTGTTGAGTTGTTCCCAGTCCCATACTGTCTTCTCAACCTAAGGATAGAAAGATACATTGATATCTAACAAAAACTATTTGTAAAATAAATAAAATAAATGAACAAACAAATAAATAAACAAAAAATTAAATACAAACAAAAGAATAAAAGGAGACTTATTACTCATGAAAAAGTAAACAAGTAAARAAACTAACAAAGCATAATCAAATATAGACCTATTTGTCACCATGAGTCTGCCCCCCAAAACTACTAAATTACAAGTTAATTTTTCCTGAAATGTCAAAATAAATTTTGGCAAATTAAACACTGAATTTCTAGATTCAACTTTTGAAAAATTGAGTAGTAGCTATATACTCCAGACTAAAAGAAAGTATAATTATTTCTTACTGTTTTGGTCTTTTTCTTATCCTTGTCTTCACTGTCTTCCTCGACTTCAACATCGTCATCTTTGTCTTTCTTTTCTTCATCTTTCTTGTCATCTTTTGTTTCTTCATCATCTTTCTTCTCGTCATCCTTCTTTTCGTCGTCTTTCTTTTCATCTTCTTTTTTRTCTTCAGCTGCTTCATCTTTYTTCTCGTCCTTGGCTGGTTCTTCCTCAATTGGCTCTTCAACTGTCTCAACCTTGCTGGTCCAGAGGTAGATAGGGAAGTTGATGAACTGACTGTACTTCTTSACAAGTTGACGGATGGTGTCAGGCTCAAGATAGTCTCTRGCTTCTTCCTTCAAATGGAGGCTATAAAATACAAGGGTAAAATCCTTTCAATTTGTATTATATGATATAGTTTAATTTCCATCCATAAGAACACAATACATAATTATTTGAATTGCACTAAAAGAAAAACATCATTTTAAAGCCAGAATTAGTAGCCGATTGATGAAGTAATTAATATTTCGCTGTCATTTTCTTTGCTATAATCATCCTAGATGAGATTTACTGCTTGTAATCCGAAAAAGACAGCTTTCAATCAAGTTAATTGCTTGTGCTCATCACCGGTTGATTTAACAACAGTGCTAACAGTCATGAGATTGATGGCTGTCAATAATTGTTACATTATTATTAATATTCATGTTGTGGCCTATGTCTGGGATGTTCCAGTTAAAAAATAGCCATACCTGATGGTGGTTCCTCTCTTCAGAGTATTACCACGAGGATCTTCAGTGATGGCAAACGAGGCTGCATCAGATTCCCAGATATACTGCTTATCATCGTTATGTTTACTAGTTACAATCACACGGTCRGCAACCAAGAATGATGAGTAGAAACCAACACCAAATTGACCAATCAGATCACTTGTTTGTTCAGCTGACGCAGCATCCTGGATCTTTTGGAAGAACTCACTTGTGCCAGATTTGGCGATGGTTCCAAGGTTYTTCACAAGGTCATCTTTGGTCATTCCAATACCAGTATCTGTGACGTGGAGAATGTTGTTTTCCTTGTCGGCTTTGATCTTGATTGACATCTCCTCTGTGGCAGCAAGAGCRTCTTTGTCWGTSAGRGACAGAAGGCGGATCTTGTCCAGAGCATCAGATGCGTTGGAGATGAGTTCTCTGAGGAAAATCTGTAGAAAACAAAATAAAGTTTTAAAGACAGCTGTTTAAGCATAAAAAAATTATTGAGCAATGCAGTACTCACTTCTTTATTTCTATACAATGAGTTAATAATAAGCTTCATCATACGGCTAACTTCAGCCTGGAATTCATGCTTCTCAGCYTTTTCTCTGATCTCCTTCATCTGAGCAACATTCAGACCATCTAGTTTAATGGCTTCTTCTTCTCGCTGAACAGCCTCATCGTCTGTTTTTGATGCATCTCTGCTCTTGCCGATATCTTCTTCTACTTTTGGGGCATCTTCTKGTYCTTTTGTTTCTTCTGGCTTTGCTTCTTCAGCAAAACATAAAGCTAGGAGAAAAACAAAAAGGAACAATTGAGTCAGTTGATCACCAGGCTAAAAGGATGGATAAGCCAATGAAAAAGATGGTTGAATGGACAAAATGAAATTTCACTCTAAAGAAATATACAAAAGGGTCCATTTTTGTAAATAAAAACATAGAGGGCRATAAAAAGTGTTATCTAATGAATAATAAATGCACTACTTGTGCCAAGTTACATGGACTTTAAGAACATAAAAAAAACAAATACTTGAAACTAGATAGTACAATTTTTACTTTCTTTATAATTGAATCTCAATATGTAGAAAGATGTTTTACTTGAGATTTACACTGAATACAGATTCATATTTGTTCACATGTACAGATGACTGAAATGGCTGTACTCATAGAGAAAGTGCTTTTAAGTCCTTGCCAATTGCAGTTAAAATATAGTTTTTGAATAATTGCAAGTTAAATATATCAATACAAATCATTTGAGAAATTCTTCAAAATAAATAGAAGTATTTCAAGGAATTATGGTGATAATATGTAAACCTGGGTAAAAAAAAACAGACTTTTATTGCCATTGTTAAAAAATTGATTCAAGAATKGTCTCAGCCAATGAGAGRCTGCCATTTGGGACCCTTGTCATTTGAAAATGTCATGAAAGTTTTTCAAATTATTAGAAGTCAAAAAGACAGGAGATTTCAATAGAATAAACRAGAGGAATTTCTGCATTAGCAAATATAACGTTTATTTTAATTCTGAGGACAATAATGTTATCCTTTTGTCCTCTAAAGTGCTACCAGTTTCACTTGAATTTGTTTATATTTCAAACATGTAGCTAGTTATTTCAATGAAACTTTTTTTTTTCTTATAAATATGAACCTGTATCAGGAAAGGTTCAAAAKCTAATAGATTTAGGGATGGGAAATTGACCTATATTAGTGTATAACAAGGTATAACAAAACAATTATTACAATTGCAAATGGTAAATTTAATTGGCCAACAAATATTCGATACCCGGTCGATACAAATTTCATACATGACACATTGAAACTATCGTAACAGGATCGATGTACGATGATTGATAATGATAATTCAATTGATAATTCTAACGGTTGCTAWGAACTCGAATTATAAAATAATGAATAGAAATCGACCTAGTAAAATGTCACAATCGCATGAATTGAAAAGTTGATCCCATTCTCTTTGTAAAATGACAAGAAATTGATACAAAGAAATACATCAATCTATTGTAACACGAAGGCAACCATTAACAAATATAGAATCGCAAAAAAATATATAGAGCAAATCTAGTAAACTTTTCATGGACTCGATCGTGCAATCCCTGTTCAGCTTTGCAAGAAGCTACATGCATGCGCAGAAAATCAAGGGAAAGAAGACACTGAAAATATTTTAYACTTACTGCTAATAAATAAGAGACCCAAAAGGCCTAAAAGATATGCTCTTCTGCCCATTTCCACGCCGGTATTCTTTCACGAACGAGGACTACGACTAAAATACTTCAAATTTAGTTTGTGTAGTGAAAAGAGAGGAAGTAAGGKTACTACAAGCCAACCACGTTGGTCCACGGGCCAGGAGCGTGGCCCACGCTTATTGGCTAGTTWTAGTCACGTGATGCACGTGTAGAGGTTTGATTGGTTAGAATTTGACAAAACCTCTAGAAATACCCCTCTCTAGGGTAACGTGGGGAGAAACCATTATACATCTAAACTCCAAAAAACTATTAAAAACTCTCTTCTAAACAATGACAAAACCATCTAAAGAAATATGTAACCAATCTTCTATATTTTAAGATAGCTAATAGTAGTTGATCTGAGGCTTGCAATAGCATTTACGTAAGAAATTATAATGTATTTTGAAAAGCCGGTCATTACAACAGCTGATCAAGKATTAACTTCTCCTTWTKACTTCCTGTGCAGCCACAAAAAGTCCCTGTGCACGTCGGGAAACAGAACMAAATCTCATTTCACCGGTGAATTTCTTTCTCGTTTTGTATTACAAAACTTTTTGAAGAAATTCTCAAAAAAAGGCTTCGATCTGTCCTCTTTAGATAATTTTCAAATATTCTCCAATGTTATGAATCATTTCAGCTAGCATTCAATCTTATAAATTTAAATTTTCGATGCTTTTTAGGCTTCTATTTTCAAAATGTCGAGACGAGACTGTAACTTATTGTTAAAAATATTATTTATTGTGGCCTTGAGCCTTCAAATTTCAATAGTGAGAAGTAAAAGAGATTTGAAGGAGCAATGCAAGACGTGTAAAGATATCGTGGATGCATTCTACAAGGTAGGGAAGGACGTATCTATCTATGCATACACTATGGTCTTTGATTGAATCAATTTAAGCTTACAGACAGATAGCTTAATTGTTTATCCAGGCTCAAGAAAATGTCATTTGTGTTTAAAATCTATATGTATATATGTTTAGTTAACTGTTATTCCAGTTTATATTGTTATGATACAAATCAATTATAAGTGGGCACTTGTATGGTATGATTGAAATGATATTGGAACTCCCATTGGGAAATTGAAAAAAAAAGAGGAAAAATTTTAAATGGGAGAACAGTAAAGACATTAAATGTTAACTGATTCTAATTAAAGGTAATTAAATGTACTAGTTCCATGATATAATTAACTGCACAGGGGCATATCAAGATTGTTGGTGTGAAKTGTGGAATCCCCTCTCAAACCTGAGAAATTGAACCCTTTATTTTTTCCCCTCCTATTTTGTGAACCCTGCATCCCTTTCTGAAGAAATATTCTAGATCTGCCGCTGCTGCAGGGTGAGCTCAGACAAGCTCATAAAACAAGAAAGTAATCCCAGACGAAGTGAGCCTCCTTTAAATTTCCTTACAAGAAAGGAAGAAACAAATGGAAGAAACACATTTTTCTGTCAACACATTGTCTCTTATGTACCTTTCTCTCTTACAAGGGAGGCTACATTGATAAGGTCTGGTATTAAGGGGACAGAAGAGAGAATTCATCTTGAGTGATTCCCTTATGTCTTACTATGGATTCCTCTTCCTTTAAAATATAAAATATTAGATTTTTTATCTTAGTATGTGACATCATTATTGCTGACGTAAAGTTTACAGAAAAAATGAAAAGGGAGGGGGAAAGATGGTTGGATGAATGGGATATACAAAATCTGATATTTCYGTTCTTGTGGTATTAGGGAATGGAGAAAACTATCAAGGCAAACTTTGGTGGTGGAAACACAGCCTGGGAAGAAAGAGCATTAGGAAGCTATGCTAAAAGGTAAAAAAAAAACATTCATTCCTAAGCTCAAGTGGACTACAGAAACCTTACTAATTAATTAAATTAACAGTTTC